TTTGCAATTGTATACACAAATTTAAATACTTTTGTAGGATGGCTACATTCTACATTCTACAATCTACAGCAATGGATTACCTCCGGGTCGTGAAATACTTCAATGTATTTATATCTTATTAAACATAGGCTAAAAAATTTCATTAACTGCTTTATACGTTTTTAACATCAAAATAGCATCGGGAAAATTTTTTTTCTAGTCAAATTGTTAGACTCTTTATCAAAATAGGTACAACGTTATCTCGTTTTAGGGTATGTTTCTTAGTTCTCTTTGTTTATTTACAAAGTTACAACTTTGTTTATTCAAAGATATAATAAACGGAAAACCACAAAGAATTTCCGACCAATAAAAATGAGAGGAAGAGTTGTTTCTATCAAGTTTTAAGTGAATGGAAAAGCAACTTTATTTAATATAGCGTTTTTTTTTTGTTGATAAAATTAAACTATATTTAAAATGTTTTTTTATCTTTAGAGAATCATTCATCATGCGTGACAAGTGGATACTTATTTGAGTCGTTCACTTGAAAAAAGGGACATGGTACAAAAAGTAAGCAAATTTGCCTAATATACACTGTATAATATACACTGCCTATTATACACTGACTGCCTAATATACACTGACTGCCTAATATACACTGACGACGGGAGCAGGCAGAGGACAAAAGTCTTATCATCTAGCCCCGTTGTATTATTTACATATTAAACAAATAATAGGCTATCTGATAAAAAAAAATTACAATCTTAGTAAAATAATATTAAATACTTTCAAATAATAATTGTTACATTTGTTTTATTTTTTTCTTTTTTCTTTTTTTTTTTTTTTTAATTTTCCAAAACTTGTATGAGAATAATGTTGATGAATAAGATTTCTTAAGTCATTTCTTAAGTCATATTTGTTTTTTTGTTTTATTGCATATAAATTTTAAAAGAATATAGGGGTTAGGTTTATCTTACATTTGTACATAAATAAAAGAACATTACAAACATTTTGCTGGTATATATTCAGAACATTCATTTCCAATAAAAGAGGTCTATTTAGTGTAACGATCTTTAAAGACGAGTTTCCACTCATCGGGAACGGGATTGGAAGGGAAAAAATAATCACATGAGCATGCGTAATAAGAGTTTTTATTTGTTCGAAAGAAAACTGCGCATGCTCACGTGATTATTTTGCCCTTTCCCGTAGAAAAACGGATGAGTGGAAACTCACCTTAAAGTTTATTAAACGTGCTATATGCTTCTGTTGCCGATATAGAGGATCTAATTGAATTTTTTTAGCACTACCCCATGCGATATTTGCATAGTTTATATGGCATTGAATTAGCGAGTGATAAAGTTGAATTAATCAATGTCTATTTACAAAAGTCTTCGCTTTATATATTACTTCAATATTTTTTGAAACTTTATTGAGTAAAATTTCGATATGGTTTTTCCAAGTTAGATTTTCATCAATGGAAACACCAAGGAAATGTATAACTTTTGATTTTTTTATTTGAACATTGTCAATATATATTTGAGGCATATCATTTAATAAAAGTTTTTTTTGGGATTTTGAATGAAACAAAGTGCATTTAGTTTTTTCCAAGTTAATTAATAGTTTATTTGACTTAATCCAATATCAAATTTTAATTAGTTCTATGTTGATTTCATTAAATAGTGTAATGATATTTTTACCGGATAGAAAAAGATTTGTATCATCAGCAAACATTACTGTCTTCAAATTTGAGGCATTGTGCAGATCATTAACATAAATGAGAAAAAAAGTATTCTGAATACAATACAACTTAAAATAAACTAAAAATTATTAAAATTTAAGGATAAGTAATCATTACTTATTTTATACTATGATGTAAAGAGTGACATCGCTTTTTAACAAAAGGAAAAGTTGAAAAATAAAAGAGAATAAAATAAAAATTCAAAATAAAATAGAATTTAAGATCATAATCAAGTAACTGTTTTTTAAAGATATTTTTAAAAGTTTGAATTGAAATAGTAGTTTTATTAAGAATTCGGATTGTTTTAGCAAAGTTTTTGTACATGATAATTTAGCAACGAATGCTTTGTTTGATATTTATAATCTATAACAAAGAAAAGGTCTTTAAAAATTATTAGACAGCATATAACATTTTAATCTAAAGATGAATAAAAGAATATTATAAATATTTAAGTGGTTTACTTTTTCCAGTTAACATATTGAACTTATTCCAGTTAACATATTGATTTTTGCATTTATTTTTTAGGATATTAATAATTAAAACGTTGGTTTATGTTTTAATAAAGAAACCAAAGTAAATACAAAATTTTAAGAATTAGGAATAAAGTTTTAACTTTTGAAACAAAAAAGTTATTTGATACAATGTTCAAGAGCTACTGAGTTGAAAGAACTCTTTAGTCTTTAGTTTTTTATATTACTACCTCCTTTTAATTGAAAGTTCCAAAATAGGTTCCCAGAAAAGGCAAAAATTTTGCAGGTATAAATTTAATTGTTTTTCTTATATCTTCCATCTTAGAAGAAGGGATTGGAAGTTTTTTAGAATAAGTCTTAGATGTTGGCATGCTTAGATTACGAGTCTTTCTTTTTCTCATGTCAATTTTTTTTTCAAAAAAGCCATCAATAAACTCCATGCATGTAACTACACCTTACATTTGTATGTTAATGTAAAATTGATGGAAAGAAGAAATTTCAAATTTCGTTTTAGAAGTAGTTGAGCTACCATAAGAGCCATTACTAAAAGTCTTTTAGTAATGGCTAGCCTTCCAAATTTCACATTAAAATTTTTATCAAAATAATTTTAAAAAAATTTGCAAGAAAAATTACTGTTATCACAATATTTTGTTTTATACGTTTCGTACTATATTTTTACTGAGAGATCAGCGTCAAAATATTTTATTATTTTTCCAAGGAAATAAAAATCATGTGTAGGAAAAGAATCTATGTGCCCATGCTCCGAACTACTTCTGATGAGACTGCATTGCTTTGTTCCCACTCTTTTCACGTCCATCAAGAGGAACCTTCTTCATTAATAGCAGTTAAGCATGCCTTTCGATTCTTTTTTTTAAATTACCATAGCGAATACAAAACATTTCTTCCAAAAAAATTTTCTTAATCCATCAAAAAGTAAATGGTATTTTAATGTCATTGATTTTTTTTTTTTTTTTTTGCATCAGTTAAAAATTTATTAAAATTTCGTATTACAATTTTATTTCAAATAATTTAAGTGTTTTTAGCTTATGATATTTATTTGTTATAGCTTATCATTTACTTGTTTACTTGTATAATTATAGTCCTTAATGTGTATATAATAAAAAATTTATATTGAAAAGTTGTTTAAAAAAATATATATGAATGCTCTTAGAATAATCCTTTCAAAAAACTTTGGGTTTTTTAAAGTCTTATTTAAAACATGCCAATTATGAAAAATTAGAAAAATGTTTTTTAAAAATTTGCGTGCTATTCAAACATCAGGGTTTTTATGTCACATGACCTTTCTTTATTTGTACGAACACCTTTCAACCTCAATACCTATTAGGTGTTAATGTGTCATAAACAATTTTTTACGGCAACATCTAACAGGTGTTCATATAATATCACACGTCTACACTTTTTTTCTTTAACATGAACACCTTTATCCGCAACAGTGCATGGACGGCGGGTTGATTTTTTGGCCATAGAAATAGGTAACTTCTAGACATAGAGCAGACTCCAAACATTTATATGTTTATGCTCGTGTCAAATAAGGATGCTTTGCCAAAAATTGCAAAGATTGGACCTGGTGAATAAAAAACCCTTAAACTTTGCCCCCTTCTCGTCCCCAGACCGAACGTGGGAGCAACGAGTTAATAAAACATTTTTGTAACTGTTTATATATATATATATATATATATATATATATATATATATATATATATATATATATATATATATATATATATATATATATATATATATATATATATATATATATATATATATATATATATATATATATATATATATATATATATATATATATATATACAGTGGCGTAGAAAGGTTTTTAAATGTTTGAAATAATCAACTTATAAACAGCAGGAATATTCCAAATTTTTTTACGTTCATATGTATGACGAAAAGATACTTTTAAAAAAAATTACTGTGATAGGAGAATGGAAACAAGAAACCCTAAAAGCAAGTTTTGCGACATCGGTTGGGAAGCAGGCGTGAACTTCCTATTAAATGTTCTTCCGCGGTGCTCTGTGATAAGACCGTAAGGACTTCTTGGGGCACCTTAATCAACTTTTAAAAAAAAAAAACCTTTGCCCCCCCCCCCCTTCCCCTCTCTTCCAAACGTGAGAGCAACAAATTGATGAAATATTTTTTATACTATTTTCAACTAGACTTATATTCATCAATAAATTTTAAATTTCATAGTAAAATATTTCAATGTTCAAAAATTATGACCATATAAAGTTTGCAACCCCCTCAAATTGAGTGGGAGGGGGGGTTAAACTTTATATGGTCATAATTCTTGAACACTAAAATATTTTACTATGAAATTTAAAACTTCTCGATGAATATAAGTTTAGCTAAAAATAGTAGAAAAAATATTTCATCAACTTGTTGCTCTCAGATTTGTGGCAGGGTGGCTAAGATTTTAGGGTTTCTTGTCCCCATTCTCCTACCACAGTAATTTTTTTTTTAAGAATCTTTTTGTCATACATATGAACGTAAAAAATTTGGAATATTCTTGTTGTTTATAAGTTATTTCAAACATTTAAAAACCTTCCTATGTCATTGTATATATATATATATATATATATATATATATGTATATATATATATATATATATATATATATATATATATATATATATATATATATATATATATATATATATATATATATATATATATATATATATATATATATATATCGCTATTAAGGTGCTCCTTTATCAAGTATGTATGAATACTAAAAATGTTTACGATAAAGAAATAATAAAACTAAATACTAAACCATATGCATTTTTAAAGAAATATTTTTCGTTTCAATACTATGTAGCAATATTGTTATTTTAAAGTCTTCATTGATATGGTTGTTGGTTTAAAAATAGGTCTCTTTGTTATGGAGTTTTGTTTCATACACGACTACTCTACTATTTTTTTTGGTGCCACGTCTTTTAATAGGATCGATTATTTTAAGCATTTTATTCCAAAATTAACGTAAAGAAAAAATCGTAAGTTAGTCAATACTCTGAAATCAGCATCCTTCTTAGCCCCAATAATGTTTTACAGGGTTAGTATTTTAGTTTTTATATTATTGTTTTTCTTAGTTCAGCTAATAGGAAGCAGCTAATCTTTTAATATCTCCAACTGCTGATTTTTTCTCATTTGCAACAATTAGGTTTTGAATATACTTTGGGCTAAAAGTTTTAATATTGTGAAGTACAGCATTTTTAATATCAACGCGTTTAGACAATGGTTCATCTTCAACCCCGTTTTCTCCTTTATGCAGCGATATTCCATTTGAGACATGATTTGAAAGTGGTTCTTTAAAGTGTACAAAATGGCGAATAAAGTTATGGGAACTTGAATTCTGTCTTTTTAAATTCTGTTTTTTTAAATTTTTCTTTTTAGTTTGAATCGGTAGATGTCTTGAGTGGTTTAAATGTTTTGAGAGAGTTTTTTTATTTGGTTTGTTTTTAACGTAATCGATTGTTGTGGTATGCTTTTTACTCGCCCCCTCCTCATTTGATTTTTTTAAAACTTTATCAAACAATGAAAACATAGGGAACGATGTAGCATACTGATTTCTTATTTGCAACTCATTTTGAACCCGACCCATTTCCATTTCTCTAAAGCTTTTTTCTGCTTTAGTTTGGGCAAACTCAGAAATTTGATCATTAAGTGCTTTAGCTTGCGAAGAAGATGTTGACGCCTGGTAAGTATGCTCTTGAAGATTTTTTATTTCGTCACTGTCAGATAATGCTTTTGAATATAAATTATCTATAAATGGGTTTTTAAAATTATTTAAATTTGTATTTAATGAATGTTCTTGTTGGAGCGTTTGTTTTGAATTTTTAAGCATGTTTGATTGATTTTCAACTGTGGCAACCGTACTATCAATTGGTTCTATTGTGCTTTGAACTTTACCAGAAATTTTTTCAATATCTTTATTGTTTACTAGTAGATTAGCTGTTGTTTTATTTTTTGATAAGTTAGGTTTAACTTCCATATTTAACATCTCTTTTATTGATTTACTTAACTCCAAATTTAAATCTACTTTTCCTTCCAAATTTAATTCTACTTTGCCTTCTTGCGCTAATTGAGCCTCTTTTTTTTTCTCATCCTTCAACACTTTTACGTAACTCTCAAGTTCATCAGAACTAACTTTTTCGTAATCAGGAATTGATGAAGGAAGAGAAGAAATAGCAAGAATTTTTGCAGGTTCAGTTGGTAAACTAGGTGATTGATAGAATACCGGTGAGATGATGCCGTTTATGGATGTGCTTGTAACTTTATTATTAATTATATCAGGGATTTCTCCATCTGATGGATGGTTTGTAAACAACTTACTTATAGTATTTACCTCCTCTGGATTCCATATGTCATACTGATTACCGAAAAATGGTGCACTTCTAAGGTGTGACATTTTATCCATATTGTATAAATCTGTGATTCCGATATTATTAAAATCTGTTTTTTGAGGTTCTTCAAAAGGAATGTTTAATCTTTTATCTCCAAGAACACTACTGCTGTTGCTCAAACCTTTCATAGCTTTTTTTGACAATACTATTTTTTTATTAGGTGTTGTTTGTAAATTGTGATCTGATCGCTTCGTTCTTATTTTTTTTTTGGTATTTTTGATTTGGTTTTGTAATTGTTGATTGAGTTTCTGTGTCTTGTTATCAATTTTAGATTTTCCTTTAGAAAAATGCCTTTTAACAGAACTAATAACATGATTATTTTGTTTTAAAATATGCGAGGAAAAACTCTTCTTAATATCATGTGAACTTGTATACCTGTTTGTATTAAAAGGAAGGATTGCTGTACTTTTTTCTAAGCTGGTAGGCTCTTTGAGTTGATCAAGTACTGTATCTCTTTTTCCTCGAACTAAAATATCCTAAAAAATATAATATTACTTATTTATAATAATAAATAATCAAATCTCTAAAAACATTATAGTTATTGTTTTACTTTACTTAAATAGTTAAAAAAAATTTAATTTATTATATGTGTGTATGACGTTTTAATTTATTACTTTATTTTAAAAAAGATCATGTAAAAGAAGCCAGCATAAATACACATTTTACTAATACAAATATCAATATATTTTATTATTATAATAAAAAATTCTTAGATAAAAAGGAAGGAATCTTAGATAAGCTCTTAGATAAAAAGGAATCGCAGCGTGTATCATATAGTAAAAGCTATTTTTGATTTTTATTCATTACACATAAAGCATAATTTTGAACTAAACAAATTTATCTAAGTAAAAAAAATTAAAATGAACTACACTATTAATACCATCTTTCACCTCACCTCATTACATCATCTCACCCACTCATGTTTACTCATGAAAAACCTATATAAAATTACTAAAGTTCAGTATTTCTTTTTCAAAAAATGTCTTTTTATACCTGTTCTTTTAAATATCTTTTCATACTTTTTTAAAAGTGTAAACACTTTTGTATTACTTAGATTATCTGATATTCGACTATAGATACAAAAAATTTATAGAAGAGGAAGTGCAGCATATTCGTAATACCACAGGTAATTTTGGAAAACTTGAATATCTCAATTAATATAAAACGCTATCGGTGTTGTTTTTTCGGAAACACAAGATCAAATAGCACATGAAGTAAATGATTAATAAAAACGCTACACTATCTTGATTTGTTTGCTGACTGTCGCACGTTAATGAAACGTTAATTTAAAAACTTTTTTGGTAAGAATGTAACCCTTCATAAATACTTATTACTATATTCAAAATCATCCTTTTAATTGATTACATTATTAAGAAACTTTATTGATTTATAATTGCGTTTTGATTATAGTTTACTTATGAATGTCTATGAAAAAAAGGTGAATACTTTTTTCTTTTTTATTGTATTCACCTTTTTTTACATAGACATTCATAAGTAAACTAAAATCAAAGCGCAATTATAGTCTTTAACTGACGAAAGCCATGCCAATATTTGTAAAGTTGGAATATGTTTTGTCAGAACAGGTTCTAAGCGGGGCTGTGTTTGCCAGTCAATCAGTTCTTCATAACTAGTCGCTTGATATCGTATCTCAGGGAGTTGAAATTTTCGATTTGGTATGTCATCTTCACGAGCACGAAGAATTCTCTTCAACACAAGCTTACGGATCACTTGACGGTTGTCTTTGAGCATAGCCAGAATAATGCTCTCGATATGAGCCGGGTAGCTATTGCGCTTCAAAACTTGCTGAACAATTATTCGATAACGCACAGGAAGAAATTGTGATGTTTCTATCATTTTATAATAATGTGGAGCAGCATTCCAGCAGTTTGAATGTTTCTTAATGTCAAACCAAACAACCGCATATGAATTCACAATAAATTTAGCCAAAAGTATTAGTTCATTTGATAAATCTTCAGTAGATATATAGAGGCGTAGAACACGGTTTGTTAGTGTCAACCACCTTGCATGGTTTAGTCGCCCAGGTGTTCTAGAATTAAATCTATCTGGTACAACACCTGTCTTCACCGCATTAAAAATTTCGAAAAAGTACAGTTGATCACTGCTTAACAACTACTTATCGCATATAATAGGTTCACCAACAATTATGGTTAAGCTGACTATAGGTTTCTGAACAGACATTGAAATAGACTTGCCAATTGGTCAATTAAATGAATGGGGTCCAGTTGTTGCACCATCTAAGGAGTGAAAAAGATGTCGCAAAGGAAGCTCGTTCAGATGTAAAAGACAAATGGACCAGTGCAGTGGTCGACCAAGTTCAATTTCCATTCTGCGTATAACTCCATTGTTTAAACCAGTATTAACGTTAGTTGAATCAGAACCAATACAAACAAGGTTCGTGCAGTCAACAGTATCAATTATTGAATCTGCAATGGATTTGGCTGATCCACTTTTTGGCGTACAATGATCAACATACTTTGAATTTGGTTCCGATAAAATGGAAATATGTTCCTCAGAAATCACAGTCTGCCTATCCCCGTCAAGTTTTAAAGTCTGACCTTTCCTTCCATCAAAATACAATCCAGTAATTCTACAATCAGCATTTTTACAGGATGTTCTCAGTAGTTTTCGTTCTCTGCGAATTTTATTCCGATCCACTGGCCCCATATGTTCTATACCAAAATCAACCAGAGTTGCTGATACAATCGCGGCAACTGCTCTATCTGATATGCCAAAACCATCTGCTTGTAGAGCACTATTTTTTAAACAACGGTTTTTCAGACGAGTAGATGTGACGGTATCGATATCTGATACGGAAGTGGAATAAGTTTCGGTGTCAGAATTGTTGTCTGCTTCATTATCTGATTCATTATCAGATGCTTCAACGACTCTGGTACACTTAACTGCAGTCTCTTCCTTTGATAATGAAACAGATTTTCGTTTTAAACGCCTCTCAGCACGTGCGGATTCCTTCTTGTCGATTCCAGCTATTCTGCCAACACGTATAGTGCGTTGATCAGTTAGGAAGTCATGCTCAATTGCTGGCACCTTCAGAACCATTGGACAGCAACAAGACGAAAGTTCTTTGCATTTACACGAACAAATGTCAAACAATGTGTCAAGATCTTTTTCTATTTCATCTTGTTTGATTGTTGCAGACTTTGATCGAATCACTTTCTGAACATCGCCTATGTACTTCTCCAGCTGTAATTCTATGCCTCGAAGACTTATTGTAGGAACTGATGCTTTAATCCATATCTGAGAAAGTTTCTCTGCTAGTCTCTTACAAACAGACCGTAGTGGTTCAGTTTCATAATTCTTCTCAGACAAGTATGCTTTGCCTACTTGCTTGTGGGTTGGCAAGCAAAAATTGGGTAATTCACGACCTTCTCCAAAAAGTATATGACGATTCTTTGAAGCTTTAGATCTTGAAATCATTATTGTTTTACAATTTTATAACATATCAGAATTTTAGTTAATTTCTAAAAATACAAGATGAGACGGATAAATCTGCAATCAGTTGATAAAAGCAGAAATTAATAAACAATCATATAAAAATAGAATAATATAATAATAGTAATATAATAATATAAAGTTATAATAGCGTTGAAGTTAATCATATCATTAGGGTTAATTTAGTTAGGTAGGTATAGGTTTGGTTCAATTTCATAACCTTGGGATTATATCTAGTATTAGGGTTAAATGCATCTTTCAGTTAATGCATTAAAGTATAATCAATTCTTTAGAAATATTTTTTTTGTAAATATTAAACAACACTATATTACGCCACTTTTCACAAATTCTAAAAAAAATTAATTTTTATGATTCGGCCTAATATATATATATATATATATATATATATATATATATATATATATATATATATATATATATATATATATATATATATATATATATATATATATATATATATATATATATATATATATATATATATATATATATATATATATATATATATATATATATATATATATATATATATATATATATATATACATATATATATATATATATATATATAAATATATATATATATATATATATATATATATATATATACATATATATATATATATATATATATATATATATATATATATATATATATATATATATATATATATATATATATATATATATATATATATATATATATATATATATATATATATATATATATATATATATATATATATATATATATATATATATATATATATATATATATAAATATATATATATATATATATATATATATATATATATATATATATATACATATATATATATATATATATATATATATATATATATATATATATATATATATATATATATATATATATATATATATATATATATATATATATATATATATATATATATATATATATATATATATATATGGTGAAATAACAATCTATCAATAAATATTAATTATGTTAAAATTACTTCTTAACCTTTTGTGATTTTTTAAGGTTATGACGATGTCTCGGTCGAGCAATGTGTTCTTTTGCTTTTAACTCATCTGTTTTCAAAACTGACTCCATGTCTTTTGCAGCTAAAGATGGGTCTTGCAAACCAAACTCTTTTACTGCATTTTGTTCAACGGCACTTTCTCCTAAATTCATATCAGATAGAATTTGCTCCGTTACCAATGTTGTATTGATAAATTTATCTTCATACCCTAAATTGCTGCCAATACCGCTGGGAACCTCAATTTCATCTTGCATAATTTCGCTTCTCTTTTTAAGAATCAAGGAAATATCACCTCCATTTTCTTCTGATTCACCACCCCAATATTTTCTCAACCAATCGGCCGAAGGGCTATTTCTTTTCTTATTTAAGCTTCTGCGTAGTTCAATTTCACCTCTTCGATGCATCATTAGCGCATCGACGTTTCGGCGACGCATGTCATGACTTTTTAGATACGCTTCATCGTAGGTAAAAACGTTGTTTTTATCATTGTCATCGTAATCATTTAAATCTTTTGGTTTTGCATTAGTTATAAAAACTAAGCCTTCAGGTTTTCTATGCTTTTTGTGTTTTTGATTAGCTTTTTTTCCAGCTACCTCGAACAAAGTATCGTTAAACAGTTTGTTATGAACAATATTTCCTACGTTTTCCTGAAACTTCTTTCTTTTCTGGTTTGATTGGTTTTCTATTTCTAAATTTAAAAGATTGAACTCTGGATCGTGCGCTTCTTTTTTTTTTTTCACGTTCTTTTTTTTCAAACGCAACTCTTGTATATTATTGACTGGGTGTTCCTCGGGTAAACCTTCTGATTGGTTAGCGTAATTTTGACTTTTAATTGGATATATTTTAATATGTCTATGTTTTTTATCTCTTTTTTTATATGCTTTTTTGCGAAAATTGAGACCATTTTTGTAAACTTCGCTTAAAAAATTAGATTCTGGAAAAATCATATTTTTATCTATGTCTAATTCATGACCTAGTTCTTTGGCATTCTCTTGAAAAATAACCAAATCAGATTTCTCCATATTCGGATTTAAGTTGGATGGTGTAATAATCTCAGAATCTTCTTCATCATTATTGTAATCACCGTCATAATCTGTTTCAGCCCCAGATCCTGAACTTGTGAAGTTTGCTACATCTAATTGATGCTGTTTATTCGATGCCCAGCGAGAATCAAATCCAATTGTAGAAACTTTACTTAAATGGCTATTCGAAACGTTATTTGAATTATTATTTTTCAAAATTCTTATTATCCATTGTTTTTGAGGTTGTATAGACTTAATTGATTTTATTTTCTTATTGTTTTTTCTATCGTTTTTTTCATTTTCTTTATCATCTATTTTATTAGAATAAATTTGATCGTTCAATGGTTTGTAAGTAATTTTTAATAAAGCTTTAATTCGATCAATTTTGGAATCTTCATTGACTGTTTTTGCTTTATTCGTCGCTGTACTACTATCATTATTTTTACTAGATCCCTTTTTAATAAATGTATAATTGTAGTTTTTTATTTTAATGTTATCACTTGAACTTGATTGGTTAAATTTTAAACCAGAGTTAATTTCTGCAATAAAATCACTTGTAGACTTTGGATTAGCCATTGTTGCTTCAAGAGATACGCCATTAGAGTTATTTGTATTGTTTTTTAGCTTAGGGTTTAAAACATAAACTTGATCATCTCCCTCCCCTATACCAGTATCATTAAGAAATTCTTTGTTAAAGTTATCGTCTTCATCATCAGCTGAAGCTTGAGAAGCTTTTGGTAAACCTTTCGAAATTGAGTTACTGCTGTTCGATTCCTGTGCAACTTGTGTTGTAGTGTTTGATGTAAGAATAGAAGAATTCGTTGAGTTAAACGAGTTGTCTGTTAACAGTTTGCTAGGATAATTAGATTTTATCATATTTGTTGGTTTTGTTTCTTTTTCTTTCAGTTGAGCTGCTAGATATTTGTTTAGTTCTTTGATCTTACCGTAGCTATTATAGTTTTTATACACTTTATCGGGAGAAATTTTTTCATAAATTTCAAAAACGGGAGAATTCTGACTTAATGTTTCGCCTGAACTTATTGTGTCCGGATCAGGTTCATCGTTTGCTATTTTTTTAAAAAAATAAAGAATTTTAATGATGTTTATACTCAGTTTTTAATAATGATTATGTTTTATAATCTTACCTTCCTTATTGTAAGCACCTACTTGAAAAAATACTTTTAAAAATACGACAAATAAAAATGCTTTCATTTCTTTTCATACACCTAACCATAAACTTTTGAACAGAGGAGATCCGCTCAAACTTAAATCTGCTATGTCCGCGAAAACATTTGTATTACTTTTTGTCGCACAAGTTTAAAGTATTTATCTTACACTAAAACAACAAATGCAAATTTGCAGAGACAAAATTTGTGCAGAAAATACGTTTCTAATATAGATTTCATTTTGAAGTTCATTTAAAGCTGTTTGTAAAGTCGTTTGAAGCATATATAGTAAATTCTCAAGCTTGAACAGTTTATAGCTTTATCAGTAATCAACATCATTGCTGCAATCATTCTCAAAGTTTCGAAGCACACTAGAGCAGATTAACGAATTTTGAATATAGCTGCGAAAATTTATTGTACATAAATAAAAAGTCATTAACTACTTTTTTTTTCCCTCTATTTGACTTTAAAAGGATTAGATTTATAACTAAAAAAAGTTAAAAAAATTTTTTATCAAGTATATAAAAACTGTAGTCAATAACCAATGGACTAAAACAATAGCTTATTGGTTTAGCTGCCTTAAGAAAAAAAAAGAAAGTTAAAGAAAGTTGTTATGTTGTTTTTATTTTTATCAATTGGTAACAATATTGTGGTATTCTTTTAATGTCAACAGCGACACTAAAAGAATACCACAATGTTCTTAACACCTTTAGTCCTTTTGATAAATTTTTCACCATTGTTGTTTATAATCGAACTTTATATTTTCTTTACTTTTCCTTTTATATTTTCTCTTAATTTCAAAGTTTATTTTTATGTAACGTATGTTGCCCTTGGTGAACGGGGTTCTCCAAAATAGTTATTACATGTGAAAAACAAACACATTATTGCATTTGTTTAAATACAGAAACATTTATTTTACTAAACTTTTGTTTTTTCTGTTGTCTAAATGTTTCTTACTGTTTAGTAGTTTGTTACATGCTCCTAACAATTTTCAAAAAAAGTTAAATCAACTGAAACGTTAGGTTTGCTAATAAAACTGAAATAATGTTATACTAAAAGCAATTTAAATAATGACTTTAAATTTCTTTTATTTTTTTTATTCAGTTTCACTCTGAGCTTTCGAATTTTTTTTTTAGTAAGTTTAGAAAAATAGCATTTTTTAATAACCATATTTTTTAAGTTTCAGATTTGAATAGCGTTATTGGAAGTCTATGCTTCTCTAGACCGCTGATTGGAAGTCTAAGTTTCTCTAAACCGCTGATTGGAAGTCTATGCTTCTCTAAACCGCTGATTGGAAGTCTATGTTTCTCTAAACCGCTTACTGATTCACGTAAGAGGTACAATCACTTATTAGTATTTTTTTGCAAAAAGAAAAAATAATTGCAAAAATATCTTTAACTCAATATTTCATTCAATATTGCAGAGCCTTTAAACATTCCTGGCAATTATTACATTGTGTTTTACAAAGTTTTCAACATTTTTGCTTTCATACTTCATAACAAAAATTTTTTTGTTTAAAATAAAACTTAGATTCGTACAATTTGCTGAATTCTATTCGTTCAATTCTTTGATCGAATGATGCAAAAAATATCTATTAGGTCAGTTTTTGACAAGCTTGTGCGCCGTACGAGACAAGCTTGTACGCCGTAATTATGTCTTTTTTCATATTCAAACCATTGTAGTCTTTACCATAAAAAGTCACGTTGCGGTAGAAATCGAACATCTTTGTACTACAATTGAGTATAAGTTTATATAATACTTTAATTTCTTTGTTTATTGGTTTTTTATATTAATGATCTCTTTTTGTCAAATTCATGATCAATTTATAGTGGCATTAATTTGTTTTTAAAGAAGTTTCTTTAAAATTTAAGAACATTAAAAAAGCAATACAAATGCATTATCTCTTTTAATTTTCAAGTCAATTTAGCAGTTTAAGAACAACGCAAAATTTGCATGTTCGCAAATTATTATATAAAAAATAACAGATTACATTAAAATTTGTGCCAAGGGTAAATTGTATTCATTTGACAAAATATTTCGGTGGCGAACTAAGAATAATCGCTTTATTATAAAATAAAAAAAACAATAAATCTATTTAATTTGGTGAAGAGGTGCTACACCGTATATATAATAAAAACACAGACGTTACAGGCAAAGCAGCAATTGTGTCTCTAAGAATTACCTAGTTATGGTTTTGATTGATTGATTGAGCGTTCAATGCTGCTCGGTAAAGCGCATTCCATGGAACAATAACTCTAATTGAAAAAATGTTATGTCGTTTTTCACAATTTTGTATTAGCTGGCGTTCTAGTTTATGGGTATGCTCTCTAAAAATATACTTGGCTTTACTGTTTAAAAGTTTTTGCGGGACAAAAAAATTGACAAGTTTGAGTTGAACCGTGGCTTTTAATTGCTCGATAAGGTCTGCTCTTTTACAGAGTTCTACTTTTTTTCCTCATTATGCTCTTTCACAACGTTCTACAGTTTTGTTAGACCGAGCTGTTGGAGTTGATTTTCTTAGAGCAGGTGTTTAATTGTTAGACCGAGCTGTTGGAGTTGATTTTCTTAGAGCAGGTGTTTAATTGTTAGACCGAGCTGTTGGAGTTGATTTTCTTAGAGCAGGTGTTTAATTGTTAGACCGAGCTGTTGGAGTTGATTTTCTTAGAGCAGGTGTTTAATTGTTAGACCGAGCTGTTGGAGTTGATTTTCTTAGAGCAGGTGTTTAATTGATGATATTGCTTTTGTTGCTCAATGTTGGACTTGCTCGAGGATGGCAATGTGCATATAATGTGGGACATTAAATGCACCATAAATAAAAACTGCGACTGCGAAATTTTTTTTTGAGTCGCCCCAATATTCTATTTGCTATTAATGTGGCTGACCCTACTTGTGGTTTAACTTTAAGGTTAATGGAGAACATAATACCAAGGTCTCGTTCAATTACTGTTTTTTCAAGTGGACGACAGGTGCCGTCAACCTTAGCCATTGAGTATTCGTGCGTTGACTTGTTATAAGCGCGGCCAACATGCATTGCTTTGCATTTCTCAACTTTGAGTTGCATAAGCCAAATATGCGACCATTCCACTGCTCTGCCAATGTCAGCTTGGAAGATTATGCTGTCTGACTCATTTTTATTATGACAAAAATTTTACTGTCGTCGGCATAAATTTTCATATGTTGAGTGATACTGTCCGAAAGGTCATTAATAAAAATTAAAGAACAATGCCCAAGATCGAGCCTTGAGGCACACCACAAGTGAACGCTAGTCATTTAGATGTGATACCGTTGATGATCAATTTTAATAACTTAAAAGATAAGCAAATAAAGTTTTTATGTGTATTTTATTCCCTTTTTTTAAAAATAAAAAGCGATTTTTTTTTTTTTTTTTTACAAATTTACAAATTAGCTTTTTATTAACCCTATTTATATTGTCAATTATATAAATGAAAATAATTTTTATTGATATATAATTTTTTTTTTTAATGTGTATTTTATTTCCTATAATTGAATACTTTTGCCAGGTCCGTCTTTCCTCGTGTCCAACATATCAGCCGCTGTTTGACCAGGACATTTGGAGAAGCTTGCCAACAAGGAATCAAATTTATTTAAAACTAATTTAAAAAAACGTTTTTTAATGAATTTAAAAATTAGTTTAAAAAAAAGTCACAGAATACACTTTTTAATTAAATTTTTTTATCTTGAGTTTATTATTTCTTTATTTTTTAAATAAAATAAAGTATAGAAGAAAGTTTCTTCACTGTGACGTTAAATATGGATGAGACAGTCAAGAGAAAGCCCGCAGGCAAGATAAAGAAAGAGGCATATTTAAATTAAATTACAGACCAAAATGTTGTTACGTCCTTACTAAAGTTGACAACATATTTTGCAAAAAAAACTCGATTGCGTTATCACGAAATTTGGTGGGTTCCCGTCCATGTAGCAGCTATCCTCCCGATTCGTTGATTAAAGATAAGTATCTTAATAAAGGTTGACTTAAAGGTTGACTTAAAGGTTGACTTAAAGGTTGACTTAAAGGTTGACTTAAAGGTTGACTTAAAGGTTGACTTAAAGGTTGACTTAAACGTTGACTTAAAGGTTGACTTAAAGGTTGACTTAAAGGTTGACTTAAAGGTTGACTTAAAGGTTGACTTAAAGGTTGACTTAAAGGTTGACTTGAGACTCTAATAATGAGCGGCTTTAAATTAGTTTTCTTAGCAAAAAATTAGCTAAGTACATCAAAGTATTTTCTACTGACTCTGTGGACTGAATACATTTATATAATGGATTCATTGAGTTCATTGTAACAAATCAGGGAGAAAGAGATGTTAACGCTGATTATTTAAGGTCCAAAATCCCTGATAATGCTGGAAATTTGTAAAACGATTTAAAAGAATTATTTTTTCTCTAAAATTAATAAAAGAAAATGAGAGAACTTGATTAAGTGAAAAACTTAAAAAAAAACGAGAGAACTCGATTAACTGATATATTCTGCTATGATTAATATTAATAGTAACTAATTAGAATTCTCTTTTAAACAAAAGTAGATTTTGCATCTGGAAAGTTGCTCATAAGGCAATCAGTGAGCAATTTGCTAAACATAATATTCCAACAGTTTTACAATTGGATTATTGTGTTTAGCTATTTAAAACTTATCTTTAAAGCTCTTTATAACTTATAGGTTAAATTCCGACTAGCTGAATTCAACTTATAAGTTTTAAAGAGCTGAAACGACTCATTTTTAAATAAGCATGTAAACACATGCTTATCCTGAAATGGTTCGTATTCAGCTAGTCTAAATTCAATTAACACTCACAAATTCAATTAACACTTAATTAATACTCTGAATTCAATTAACACTCACGTCAACCATAGTAAATGTATCACTTGCTACATATCATATTATTCAGTTATAAATTCAATCATATTATTACAATAATATTCAATCACTATTTATTCACCTTTGGATGCTCGGTATGTTATGGCTGATGAAAAACCAGTGAAACATTTTTTACAATTCATTCTTAAGAGAGGTCATTGGGCAGCTGTTATGCTTAACTTGAATAAAAAGGCATTAAAGTTGTACGCCATCAACATTATTGATTGCCGTAGGCACCCGTATGATAATGCTTCCAATATGTCTGAGGTCAACACTGTTTAGTTTAATTTAGTTAAGTTTATTTTGTCGTTTAAAAATGTTTACAATATACAAAAATATAAAATATATATATAAATGACTAGAGCAAGTAGAAGGAATAAGTTAGCCAAGCTCCTTAGAAAAGCTACTAAATATTCGTATCATATAAAAAACCACATTTAAAAAAGTGACAGTTGTGAGGTGTTAAGAAACAAAAACAGTAGTTAAAAAAAAAATCAAGAACTAAAAAAAAAAAAAGAAGGAAAATAAAAAATAAAGAAAAATAAAGAACTACATTAAGCAAAATAAAAAT